CGGAGAGTTTTGCCCGATCATTCTTCTACGTTAAATTTAGACACTTCAAAATGGCATTTCATTCCTACTTGTCGTTCAAGATGCATTCCCACAACGTAGCACTAGGTACAATCATCATCATCATCATCAGCACCGATGAACCAATGCAAAAAACCCCTTCCACCAGGCACCTTTCATATCCGCACAAGGCAAGCAGGACATAGGACGCAGAATCTCCTGTTGCTACCTATGTTGGTGCCACCGTACCGCTTGATGCGTGAGCGGGAAGATTATGGAGACGAATTCAGTTTAGCACAAGTTCCAACCCAGTTCGCAGCTAAGCCATGTTGGGATCCCGCGACTCATACGATGTGGTTTGAACGGATAGGAGCAGTCATTTTTCGGTCTCTGGCCCATGTAGAAACACTGCACTTGGAGGCAATCGCCAAACGGATAATCAGGGAACATCCAGGCTTGCAGCAGAAGATGGACCGAAGTTATGCTGTGTGCAAGATGGCTTGTGTCTCATTGGGTTGATGCGTTTTTTTTTACACCTTTGAGATTACACTGAGTTTCTTGATATTCTAAGGTCTACCTGCTTAGGTGTATTTAACTGGTGCATGTGTTGTCGCCGCTCTATGCGAGCGAATCACGCAATACCCTCTAGTATATCTAAGATATACTAGAGGAGAAGTCGAACCACTCCAACACTATCCTCAATTCTAATCTTCCGTAGTATCAGCCGCAGTGGTGAAGCACTATCAGGAGCTCCATAGTGGAAGAAGAACACCAACGGAAAAAGCGCATGAGCAACAGGGTGACAAACCGGTTCTCGTCAGAGGTTTGTGCATGTTGGAATTGCAGCGAAGGGAGCCTGGGCAAGAAGTCGTGATACCCGAAGACGCAGAAATCAGTCATATCATACCAGTCTTCTCGCCACAGAGTGCAGCGGGAGGACGGGGAGATTAAGGCTGCCTGCAGTTGTAGTATTCATCGAATGGCGTAAATACTTCTTCCCCTCTTACTATACTTCTTGGCTTGGTTATTTCCCGTCTAAGAAGACGCCAGAGAAAGCCCCCTGCCTGATCTGGAGGTCGGGTACAGACGACCGCACGAAGACGTGACTAAGAGGGTTCGCCTGTATCCGCGGAAAGCGCAGCCTAGGAGTCTTGCTGCACACAACGAGGAAGCGTTACTCTTAAGGCTTGAGAAAGTCCATCTTTCCCAACATCTTGGTCTTCCAGCTTGGGAAAGGACAACAGGGGCACGCACCAAGATGCTGACCGTGTATGGTGATTCGTCGCGGAATGATGATCTTTCTGATCTGCTGCCTACAATCACGTAGACGGGGTCTAATACTCCACAAGGGGCAGCTGCTGAAACTTTCACTTTCCGCTGTTTACTCACTGACGCCTCCGTGGCGAACGGGTAGGAGGAGCTTTTTCCCGGGAATGAAGGGACCTGGTGATCCCCTAGGCAGTGATCAGCAAGGTGGCTTCTCTGAAGAACCGCAGTTAAGGACCTTCATTCAAGATCTGCATCCAAGATCATTTTTATCTTGGACTGTAGTAGTTGCATCCATCTGCAGCGATTCTTAGTAATTCCTTGAACGGTTCTGGTTACTTACCTGGGTGAAATAAAACTTTCATTCACTCCAAATTCCAAGATACTTACTTTTCAAGGAAGATGGTTACAACATTTCTTGGACAACGAGAACTAATTGGACTGAGAGACGTGGATGAGTCCGGAGTCCAAAGAACTAACTTCTGCGATTTCTTGGACAACAAGACGTACCATTTCTTCTAATTTGACGAGTTCTTCCGCTCCTCTGGCAATCGCGTGTGGAACAGTGCGAGAGTGTGATTGAGCTCTTCCTGCATCACAACTGGGGCATGCGGGAAGTGCAGCGTGCTGTTTTCCCGACCATCATTGCAACCGACGACCAGCACGACTTAGTCTCAGCTCGAGGCGCAATGAGTGGGGAAGAAGCACTCGTCCTTGCAGACGATGGAACGAATGGAAAGGAAATTACGATATTATAAGAGGAATAGTTGACCTTCTTAAGAGGAATAGTTGACCTTCTTCGATTCTGGGTACTCAACATTTTTTGCCGAAGGGGGAGTTGGAATTAATGACCCTACTGCAATCATTTCAATTTAACTACTGAATCTTACCTTTTGTAGTAATGAGAAAAACGCAACTTTTTCCTTGCCAGCTCTAATCATCGTGATTGCCAGCGTGCGGCTCGAATTCATCGTATTGGTCAAGCTCAGTCGCTTATCGGCGAAAAGTCTTCTTGCGAATTTGAAAGGCAAATCTTATGGCAAGAGTCATCATGTTCCACCCTCGTCTAGTAGAGTCTTTGGATTACATTTCATCGGCTCTATGATGGACAAGGATAAAGTAAAGGAAAACCCACCTCCTCAACCGAGGTGACCTCATCTTGTCCACGTGACCTCGTCTTGTCCACGTGACCTCATCTTGTCCACGTGACCTCGTCTTGTCCACATAGCCTCGTCTTGTCCACATGGCCTCATCTTGTCCACATGACCTCATCCTTCCAGCTCCCCTTCTAAAACTTCTCAACATGATCGCCAAGATGCGCGGTGCGGAACATTCAAAGTGGACACGGGCTTGGGCGTCTTTCCAAACAGTCGCCTCTAAGGAAGGGATGCAAGGGCTGTTGATGAGCGGAATCGACCCAGAAAAAAAAGAACAGGCAAATTAAGGCTACCATAGAAGCATTCCCAGCATCATCATGATCCTACCATTAAGGCTACCATAGAAGCATTCCCAGCAGCATCATGATCCTACCTTCGTTCTTCAGGAATGCGAATTCGGTACTAGCACTACTAAGTAAAGCACCTCCGTCGGTGTAGATGGGCTGCATCATTTGCGCAACGGACTGGAGCAGAGTTCCAAATGTCGAAGGCTTGGCCCTTCACCTCTTTTGCACAGGTCTTGATGCAGCAGCAAACGTTGCAACTAGCTCACGCGGACGAAGCAATGAACTTTGCGAGTTCCGTGTTTGGCTTACTCCATCACCTTGAGCACCGCGTAGCGGACAATGCAAGAGAAGAGCATTCCAAGTTTCGGAGAGTTAGGGGTTCAATACGGAAAGGAGTCATGGTAAAGCTTAAGTACAGGGAGAAAGATGAGGATCCATTCTGTTGAGCATATCTCAAGAAGATTCAACGTCAACCTACCTACTAACTTCATGACTCGTGATATCAAACCCTAGAATCCCGTCATCTTTTCTAACAAAAACACCGTCTTTTCGGATGAAGGAAGTTACGAGAAGGCCGTGGCCGGAGCAGCACTGCAGGCGGTTGGCACCATACTACGACACGAGATACCAAATGACGTGTACGTACGAGTTGGGGACGCATTGAAGGCAGAGAAGGTTAAGGCTTCACACATGTTCGAAAAGATGAGCTTATACTTTGTAAATGTCATGTTCTAGTTGAGTCTGTGTAAGGGATAATAGTAAACTTGTTGAAGTATTTTAGGGTGGGTTAGCGAACGTTTCTACTTGAAACAAAATTATGGTCATTGGCCACACCCGATCGAGCGCTAATGCTGCCAGGGAGCAGTTTGCGGAAGAGGAAAATTATGACCGGAAGCATGATGAAAGTCGAAAAGTGGAAGATAATATCTTCAAAATGAGTAAAAAAATATGAAATGAAAGTCCTGTGAATATTGTAGGTTCCTGAAGTGAAGTAGTACTACAAATGTCGCATCACAGATAACGATCCAGTATATTTCTAGACGTATTCATAGGAACAAGGTGTCAGATCGGTATAAAGGTCCTCAAGAGCCGCGTTCACCATCTTATTCCTACGTCAGATGAAACTACCACACTTCTAAAGCTCACCGAGCATATCTCCAGACATCGTAGAAGTTTCTTCAGAAGTAGTCGTTCCTCGGAAGGTAGCACTAGGAGCAGCAGTTTCTATCGCAAATGGAGGCGGCGCGCCCGTAGCAGTTGTGTCTACTGAATTCGATAGTCGAGTAGCAGAGTCCACGACGGCTCTAGGTACAGTAGGAACAGATATCTCCATGGTTCCTGTCCTGACAGATGGCCTGTCGGCTCCTATTCCGAGAGCAGACCTGTCTTCCGGTCCTGTCGAGCCAACAATTCCGCCTCCTGTGCCAACAAGACCGCTCTCAGCAAGTGTTCCAGCGATACCTAAGCCTCCTCCCACAACGCCAGTGCCAGACTTAGCAGTTCGTACTATGCCTCACATTCCCCGTATGGTAGGTGCTCCAGGACCAGTTTGGCTGGGGCAGGAGCATGGTGGGAAATCATTCGTGGAGACCAAGAACGCCGCCGCAGACAAGATAGAATTAAGAATAACACTATAGGTGTGCTCCACCACAACTCTAGGTGTTACAGGTATCAAAGCTAAAGGCTTGTTGTAAATTTTTTTGGCGGAGAATCCAGTCTCTTGTCTATCACTTCTAATGCGACAGGGACCAGAGACCGGACACGGAGCTCAGACCGTTGGACAGAAGAAAAAGTCGAAGAAGCGAAAAAATCCATTTGCGTCTTCCTTCTTGGAGTTGGCAGTTAAGGTGAAGATTTTGCGATTATTTCGAAGCATGAAGCTGTGATAGGCAACGAAGTTGCGAGAAAAATCAGCAGTGATCGTAGTCACACTGAGGATTTAAGTACTAGGGAATTTTGTAAACCTTTAACAGTGGCAGTGAGCAGTTAGAGGCAACTACCGGGGAGGAACAGGGCAGTAACTCTGGAGACGCTGCCAAAACCTTGGAGCCTAATAATCACTTGGATTCTAGTGAGACAGCCGACGCAGCCGAGACAAGCAGAGAAGATAAGAGAAAAATTACGATAAAAGGCTGAAGAATCATGCTTTTATCATGTTGAAGGATCGAGTTAATGTTTCTAGAGGATGTCCTTAGGACTATAAACTCAACCCTTCAACATCGTTCGAGTACCCACCCAATCACGACGTTTCATTGTTCCCTCTAACAAGCGGAGAAAAACGACGAAGACGTATCGGTACTACAATCCGGGCACACGAGAAGACAAAGAGGAATACGCATCGGAGTCTAGTGTGGAACCGGTGCTTTTACTCGATTTGCATGAGGGAAACAAGAATGCCTTTTCCTTCTTGGAGACTGGAGGAGACCAAGAGGAAAAGCACGAGGAACACGAGGAGGACCATCATCACGAGCTACATGAGGCAGAGCATGACGACGTAGTGCCTCCGAGAAGTCTGTCAAGGCCGTCGAAACTAGTCCGACCATCGAGCGCCCTGGAAAAAGATATGAAAAACTGGAGAGTATATGTAGTAGGCTTCTGACAAGTCATGATTGGATAGTCAAGCAAGTTCTTATCTTCGACACCAGCTTCCTTTTGTAACCTGTTCGTGCTTCCTCTTTCAGAACAAAGTAGCACACCAACTCCCTCTCTCCAAAAAAAAACCCAATAAAAGTCCCACCTTCATACCACAAGCTGCTGAAGTGTCTGTAAAACGTTTCGGGGGCCAATATCCGCAGATTCTGAAATCGGCGTGGAGTACATTCAAGAAACGATTTGTGGAGCTCACTAGAGAACGTTCCCAGCACACACCAGAGCAATTATTGCAGCTGCCTGGGGGAGGAACTGGAGGAGACGGAGGGGTTGTAGTTAAGGTCTTGGATGGAAAGTGTGGAGGATCTTCTAGTCAAGTAGTCATTGATTTCCGAAAGTGATTTGATTTATGTGGATTTTACGTGAATATCGAATAATGACGCGCGGCTGGTCAATGGTGGCGCCCACTTGAATAGTGGATGAGGTGGAGGATCTACTCCAGTTGTATGTATTTGAAGGCTTCATTCGAAGTTGATGTTCTTGCAGATAGGTGAATATTTCGTACTGTGTGCTGGTAAATGCTCACTTGAATGAGTACTGTGCCTGGATCGATGATTTATACCAAGGTTATTGCTGTATCCTAACGCTACAAGACACACCAATCTTCTCTAAGAGATGGACCACGACGACAATAACTGCGGCGTCCAATGGTGAGCAAGAGGCTGTGGACATGAAGATCGAGGTCATGGAAGCGAGTGTAAGTTCTAATGTGGTAGCTGCAAGTGCAGGTGCAAGTTAAGTCAGCGGGGGAAATGTGTATGTAAGTAGATAGAAGTGTCGAAAACAGGGTGACAAGTAGATTGAAACACTTTAATAAGCCTGTAATCTGCATTTTCTCTGTTCTTCTCTGATTCTATTCCTGCTTGACATCAACTTGCTGCCTCTAAAAAGTCCATCCCAGTGGTCAACTGTTATTGCCAGGTGAGGAACAAAGGCAGTTGTTGCGAAAGGGGCAGCCTGTCGAAAGTGTTCCGTCAGTGCCAGTACAGCAGGATGCATTCATTGCACAGTCGCTCGTTGCACCCCAGCAACCGCAAATGCCACCAACAGCAGCTCCAGTAGTAGCCGCGCCAATAGTTGGAAGGGAACCTTCTTCAGTCGCAGCAGTAGGACAAGCTCCACCTTCTGCAGTTGCAGAAACTGCTATAATGGGGCCGAAAGGGATGCCATTGCCGTTTTCGCCACTCTTTTTCGAACGTCAAGAAGAGACAGCTGCGACGGATGCGATATTGATTGGCGTGTACGTGATCTTTGCCCTAGTCTTCTTCTATAGCTGCAGACATCCGCGATTATGGACAGCGTTTCTCCTGTGAAAATATTCCTAGTTGTCAGAACATCTTCAGGATACCTGAAGGAGTCATAATTACCCCAGAAGAAGTACAAGAAGGTTCTACATTAAGGGTTGCAGAATTTGTAATTGTCATTGTGATCATTCTCTCTGTCTCTTCTAACACTCATATTCCGTTGGTGTCTTGGACTCAGTGGCGGCCTCTATGCGTGGAATTTAGCGGAGATGATTCGATTGTTCGATCTTTTTGGTGTCCACGACGGGAACACCGAAGAGGAAAAAGACGTACATCCAACGGCGATAATGTTATGGTTCTTGGTGTAGTAATAAATCTTTGTCATCCACTGAAGCCTTCACCATCTTCACCTAGGGGCCCCATCTTCATTCTCTACTTCTCTAACAAATCACGCAGCTTCTACAGGCCGTGCAGCTGTGAATCTGAATGGCGAGATGTCGACTTTTATGCTAAAAGCTGTGGTGACATTGGTATTCGGTCTCATCAGTTCTGCTAATCTGGAAGTTGGCCTTTTTTTCCTGGGTGCCGACGTTGCGGGAGCGGTATTTTTCACGACGTTTTGGTTGTATCATATCAAGATTGTGAAGCGAAAATCTGTTATCATTATCAAGTTTCTGAAGAAGAAAAATATGATGATGATAACAGATCTTCTTTTCATAGGGATCATTTAGGTGGTACTGGTAGGTACTAAACGGGATAATACAGAGTAAGCAACTGAGCACTAGAATCATTGTCTAAATGTAGTTTTGAAAAAAGTTAGTATAGATGACTGAGTCTCTCAAATAGAGGACCTTCCTTCACCTACTTGCATCATCTCAGATACTTTTCCCTGGTGCACTGTTCTTTCTTTCGACAGTAAAGGCAAATCGATGGCTGCCACGAGACGTGGAATCTTTTTATTGGTCAATGATGCTTACCGCGATGGCCGTCGGGAACCTGGTGTTTATGGCCTCCTTCGAAACACTGAAGTAGTACGTGAAACCCTCTTCTTGCTCCTCGTCATAATTACCTTAGGGACATACTGTTGGAACTGTATCATCCCGCCGGTAGGCTTGAAGGACTACTTGGGATGCAAATGAATGAACAATTACCTTTGCTCCTCGTCTGAGAACGATCACTGCGTAATTATCTACCTACCTGAATTCTCTTCGCGCTTCTACCTAAATTACTTGCAGTAAAGGAAACCATACTAGTGTCATTTTTAACTTTGCTATACGTACTAGAATCTAATAAAATCGGTGGGTATTTTGCTGTGTTTGGGCATAAGAGTGTCTACATCGAGCGCGACCGAACTGTGCATAAGCATGCGAGGGCGCTCTACGTCCGGATAGGCGTCGCATTTGTAGCAGCCATGGTGCTTGTTCGCGGTCTGATCCGTCTCGCAAGCATGCTGGAGTACAATGCGTTCTATCATGCGACAGCGGAAATGGCGCAGCATCACGCCTGGGGTGGCTCGCACACCCACGATGGAGAAAACACAGTGGAGCACTTGCCTGATATCGATTTCCGCCTAGAAGCAGCGTCAAGCGAATCAGAGAGGCTTCGTACCCAACTGCACCAAATAGCCGAAAACGCATTTACTGGTTCAGGAAGTGGCGCGCATCAGAGTCGTGGTAGTGCTGAGGGTGGGCACGATCCTATCATGGGAGACCACCATGGAGGCTCCTTACACGGACGAAAACACAGCACCGTGCATTCGCACAATGCGTTCATGAGGGGGGGTCTCATGGTCACGGATCTAGCGCTGTTGCTTCCGCCAAACGACCCTATATTACGGCAATAGAGTGCGTCAATGTGACTTCTTTGACATCACACACCAAATATCCTGTGTTGCGTGAGCTACCTGAGGTGTGGAGGTATCCATCTGATTTGTAGAGATGTGATTTTAGGGCTTTTTCTAACACTCGCTGTCCTCGATTTCTTTGGCCTTTATTTGTGGCGAACGTTTTTGCGGTATGAAAACGAGCACACGCAGATGGCTCACACACCTCACTTCCTGATACCGCGCGACTACGCTCCGGAACCGATTTTCATGTGCGGCGTCAGCTACTTCGTGGTGTTGTTATGGCGAAACCACCGAAGATCAGTTATAACCTGCTCCATTATATTAACATCAACATCCTTGTTTGTCATTCACATCTTTTGCCCTCAGAAATTCTAGAGGCTACGTAGGAGAGGACGAGCAGGCATGCCAAAAGGGGCAACATAAGGTCCATCTAATCCTCGCAATCTTTATGGCGGAATTGATGCTACGATTTCCGCTACTCAGTCTCATGTCCTCTGTACGGGATGCAGTCGGCTGGATTGTGGGCGATCAGCATGGAGAAAAAGTAGCCAGCCACGAAATCAAGGACGAGAAGGAGGAGTGGACTGATCATGATGAGGAGGAGGAAGCGGAACTAGATGAGGAAGATCTATACGATGATGGAAGGTTAAGGCTCAATTTCATCATCATGCATGGTGTCCCATTTAGAAGTACTTTCTATAGATCGCACATCTATGTCCTTCCTTTTTAGATCCTCTCCTTCTTCATTTCCAGGGATTGCTTAGAGTTCACAAATTTTTGCTAAGTTCACAACCTCTGAGAAGTACATGGCTCCGGAATATGAACTCCTAAGACACTCTCTAAGGAGGATAGATGATAATCGCTCTACACGCGCTACGGCGCACGGAGCCAGCGCAGATCCGACTGCGCAAACATTGCACTTCTTAACCCGAGAAACAAAGAAGGCGATTGTTGTTATGGATGTCCCCCCTTGGCCCTGGTTCTTGTTGTAGTCATGATCGGGATTGACTCATGATCGAGATTGACTCATGATCGGGATATGATCCGACGTCGACACTTCACTCCACTTTAGTCTCCTGAAGGTAAGACTGTTCCCTATCAGAAAAAAAAACAAAGGAAAAAAAAAACTACAGAAACTCTCTTCTAAGTCACATGAAGTCGATACGGCCCACAAGGCTTTGGCGAAAGCCTACGATGCTAGGGAACATGCCGACGATGACACTGATGACAGTTATGATTATTTACAACTTAACAACACAAGAGTGGTTTTCTTCCTTTCTTTCTTTCCTACCTCGTTATAACAAGAGTGGTTTTCTTCCTTTCTGTATGATCATGATTCCCATCATCATTTCCTTCGCATCACCGTAGGTTCAGTCATAGATACTACACCTATCTTCATTATCAGCAGATGCAACACCCATATTAAGCAGTTCTACTGTAAAAACAAACGCAATTTGTAGTTTCTAACACTCCGAAAAAGACGAGCATCAATCCGATCGCGATGGTCCTAGGTCATCGATGCAGATGCTAGGAGCACCATCTTCTGGTTCTATGCGTGAGCGTAGAAAAGAAAAGCGGGAGAAGATTGCCAAGACTTTAGAGAAGGAGTTCGAACAGATGCAATTGGGCCTGATAGGTGGCATCCATAAAAGTCGGAGCGGGCAGCAGGCGTTTTATTAAGGCTTGTCGGATAATGGCCACACATGACAAGTGGCAGGATCAAGAGCTCTGGTGGTGGTGCAAGAAATCTCTCTCTCTTATCGACAGAAAATGGGTATTTTGCTTGCTGGTCGATTTGCAAGCAGTTATTAACGAATGAGATGTTTTCACACTTCATTGTACTCCTCCAGCTTACCTCCAGCTTACACGACCATCTCTAATTCTCTGCCGTCGAAAACCTTCGAGATAACGGGTCCGTGGCTTCGTCAGGGTCAGACTGTTTTTCGTCGGAGCACGATTCCAACTCCCTAGCAGGAATGTCATTGAACGATTCGTTACCATCTGTATGGCAGTGTGCGTGAAAGGTATCCCAGCAGGAAACCGGAACTTCTCTAGCTCCACAAGGATCAAACATCGCGGTATCTTCACGAAGATCATTCAGATTAGAAAACCAAAGATATATGTAAAATCTTCACAAAAATCATCTTCTGAATATATGTAAAACATTTACTTCTACTTCTTGCCAGCTCTCGCTGCTCTAACCTCTCTAGACGACGTCAATTCCTTGCCGGACCAGGATAAAGCGCCACCCAAGCAGATAGGCTTTCGTGCTGGAAAAGAAGCGTCTAAGAATACCTCAGCAGGGCTTCCAGCGACGAGTCCAACGGCGAAAAATAGCATGGGAGGCGGTGGAGGTTCTTCGTCGAGTACTGCAGCGCATCCACAGAGCCCAGGGGAAAGGATATCTCAACCATTAAGGCGAGTTTATCCTTCAAAAATCTAAGACAAGGAGCAAGTACAACGGGTAAGGCCTTAGAGTCTTACTTTTGTTTAACGGTTCGAAAAAGGTTGGCTTCACAGGTATATTCCTATCGTATATACCCAGAGTTTTCGGGTGTGAGCACTACTAGTTAATTATGTCAGTTGTCGCATTTGCAGTTGTTCCATTTTTCCCTGTACAACTTCCTTTTCCAGTAAATTAAAAAGAGCAGAAATCTAAAACAAGGAGCAAGTACGGGTAAGGTGAGCAAGCAGCCTCCACTCTTTTACCGTGAACCTGGTCGATCAAGGGCAAAGTCGGCTGGCGATGAAGCAAGTTTGCTTGGCGATGAAGCAGGTCCAACAACACTCAGTGGGACAACAGCGAGGAGTGCTCACACTACGCCCAAGGGACCAGGACGCACTGTAGGATTCTTTCCGACGAAAAGAGGACCTCATATAAGTTCTGCGTCCTTCTCCGCCAGTCCAAGTAGCGCCTCAGAGGAATCGATAAGTGATCATATTTTAAGGGAAAGAAAGTGAGTACAATTATATCTTATAGCGAGATTACGGACGAGATAGCGAGATTTATTTATTATAATTTGTAAATTCAACGATATGTTGGACGGGAACGAGAAGCTCACCTACATTTTTTTCGTAGGTGAAGATATAGACTCTAACTCTAGGTCGACCTGTGAGTCCAGAGAGTAGGAAACAGCCAGTGGTGAACCAGTTCCAGTTTCGTCCGAGTGGACTGCTGGATGCTGTGCCTCCACCTTCAGAACTTCTAGACGGACCTTTTTTACCTGCGGCTGGTGCTAAAGTACTAGGTAGTGGGCCCGCTGCTATAGTAACAGCAGCAGGGGAAAAACCAGCATCTTCATCTACAACTACGGCCGGAGAAAAAATAGAGACCTCTGCTTCTCAAGGAGCTCCTGCTAGTGCAAAAATGGACACTTCTACTCCTAGTGTGGGTACTGAGAAGCCACAAACTCCAGCAGCAGGAGGAAAGATCAACATAGGATTTGGAGCTAAAAAAGTACCTCAAAAAGGAACTAGTATAGGAACTAGTAGTATGCCAGGAAGTAGTGGTAGTCGTGGTGGTACAGCTGGAGCAAGCAGTAGTGGTACTGCGCCAGCACCTGGAGCAAGCAGCAGTAGCGCAAGTGGAGCAAGCAGTAGTGCTAGCAGTAGCAGTATTGGATATAGGGCAACCACGACTTCACAAACTACAAGCAGTAGTGAGCTGCCAAACTTCGCGACACCTGAGAATAGCGCAGCTTCTCCAGCTCTGCAACGCATCGCGCGTAACGCACGGCGCTCACCACCTGCAAAAACAGTAAGTAGCCCGTCGCGCGTTCGCATGTTCGAACAACAACATGATAACAAGGAGAAAGTGAATGATGAGGAATTTTTCGCTAGCCGTGTCGAGAACAGTCAAACTCCAACAGGAGAAGGCAAGCTGTGGGCACAGCGTGTAGAAAATAAATGGGAAGTGGAGTCGGACTCCGAATGAAGGAGGAGTCAGAGACGTCTGGTAGAGAAATGTTGAAAAACAGCTGATTGTTTAAACCTCCTAATACTTAGACTTAATACAAGCTACTACTATTTATATGATTGTAATTCATTGCAAATAACTCTTCGTCAACAAGCTATAGCTACTTACTCAAGCACAGTCTTTTGATCAAATGTTTCGTCAGTCACACTCTTCTTCTGAAAAGTAGATGGAGAGTTTTTACGGGAGAACAACGCTGAACCAAGGGAATAAATTCAAATGAACTCCTTGGCAGGAAACAAATTAACGCCAAATGGATTTGCATCAAAGTAGGTAGAGCCGTACTAGAATTCGCTTGCAAAAAAAATAGGCTTAATAACAACACTTTTTTTTCTCTCGTTACAAAGCTGTTTTACTTCATGTTTTCACGACCAGAAATAGTGTGCACATCTACGTCGACACACACAGGTCGCGATTCTCAAGCACGAGACATGTATATTTTTTTTTTTGTTTACGACATTCACCATGCTTTCCGCAAGGTGATAATACGGATAAAGATGCTTTCAAAATTATAGACTGATAGCGAGCAGTTGGTCAAACCCAATCAACACCTATCTGATATAGATATGACTGAAGATGGATCAAATCATACTAAGGAAGTCCAAAAAATCTAGCGAAGGACAATGTATTTCAGAAGTGATTCCACTCTCAACTATCAAACAATGTAACTTACCTCTCTCGTCAAAACAAATAATGACCACTGCCATTGCTCCTATGACACAATATCATCGTCAAATGCGTAGCGAAGGCCTGTGCCAAGCACGACACTTTATTGTAGTTTCAATTCAGTCTTTTTTTTCGTCTAGGCCTACAACTTCACTCTCTTATCATGATTACCTAACTTTTTCTTGTCTAACTGACATCAAACAGTACCGAATAGAGTTTCGAATTACCACAAATCAAATACAAATGACTTATCGTAAGTAGATTGATATCGAAGATGAGGGCAGGAACAAGATGTTGTTGTACAGACCCCAACAAAAAATGCACCCGGCTAAGGCTAATCCCATTGTCTTTTCGTGACTATCTTGTAGAAACCTAGAGCCCAACAGATGATACCAATACCATAGACCATGTGTGGAGTAGAACATCATAGCTCGTGTATTGCAGGCCATAAGGAAGGTGTACAAAGCATACTTGTATCCAGAACGAAGATGTAAGGATGAGGCGGGTTTGGCCAAGAGCTGCGAGCACAAATTGCGTAGTGACACTTCGCCGTCCTGTAAACGAAGTCAGTCCCTTGATCGGTGTTAATCACAGTCAATCACTCAGAGTGAAGTGGAAGCACTACGGAATGGAAAATGAATTGCCTAGTGAAAAGGCGTCGAGAAAAAAACGGTTTCGGTGCGAGAGGAGAAAAGAAAACCAAGCAGAATCTTTTCTGTTTCAAATCTGTTAAAAACCTTGCCTTTTCCCACGTCCCTTTTGACACTATTTGTAGCATTGTTGATCACCCTAAACCCTAGTAAAAAAAAACGAAACCATGTTCCAAAAGGTCGTTCTTCCTCGCGCCGCACAGGCGTACCTAAAAAAGACGCAGTTGGACACGCATTTACAAGCGGGAATGAATGAGACGAATTCGGCGATGCCAGAAGATGCATTCGGCGATTTGGCGTTGAGACTAGCGAGCAAATTGGAAGTGTCATTGCTTTTATGGCAAGAGTAGTTCTTCGTGGAGTAAGAAGAAAGTGTGGCCGATTCTACTGTGTAATGATGGTATGTTAGACACCACACCTGGTGTTACAACTCTACTTATACTCGTCTACGTGTCAAATCGCCTTTAATACTTGGCCCGGAATTCCGGAAGCTACGGGTTTTGCCAATATCAGACAAAGACGCACTTTCCAAGCTGACCGCGCAGGATGAGGGCGGTGGGGGTGGGAGTCCGAGTTCCGTGGAATGTGAGGTGGTCATGGACGTTAGGGGAGCACCGGTATTGGCTTTGAATCCCAGTCTCACTTCTCGGATTTATCGTTTTCGCCTCTCATCCTGCTCTATCCCGTAGGGGCTCCACCCCAGAGTCAAGCGTCACCACCCAAAAATCAAGCAGAACAAACCTACAGGTCCGCATACATTCGTTCTCGATTGATGTTGGGGAGACTGAAGCTGGCGGATGGATGCCTAGCCTCGATGAACTGAAGGTGTTCTGCGCAGCCCTTTTCATGAGCAACAGGCGGCATCTGCTGGATCTCGGGATGGTACTAACTTCTACTTTTATAATCTGTGGTAGAAATAGTATTCACGAATCTGGTAGTAGTAGCAGTAGTAGCAGTATTAGTAGCAGTAGTAGTTGTAGTAGTAGCAGAAGTTGTAGTAGTAGTATCAGTATTAGTAGTAGTAGTAGTAGCATTAGTAGTCGCAGTAGTAGTAGTCGTACCAGTAGTAGCTTGATTTGATTTGTGTACGATGATTGCAATAGTATCCACCTTCAACGGCATACCCGCATCCCCACGTTACAGATGTTCGAGTCTGCAGTGATGGATGCCATTTTTGAGACCGTAGGAGACGAGACGGGGTGTGGAAAGCACGAACGATTCGCTCTGGAGATGCAGGGGCATCTGATACTTGCACACGAGAAAATACGGTCTAATGTTATGCTGGTTATGCAAAAAAGAAGGAATATAATTAGAAATAAAGTGCATACCCGTCGAAAGACTGGGTATATGCAGAATTTTAGAGCGTAACGCGATAGGAATAAACATCCGTCACCGTTTTAGTTGTGTTTATTCCTATCCTGACACCGAGCGACCCCGACGATAGAGAGAAACGCGACGGGAGGAATCAACGACGCCCCGAATTGTGAAAATCGTGCGCAGTTTTGCCTGTTCTGTGTGTTTATTCCTATCCCGAGAAAAGTTTCCTAGATCGTGTTTTCGTCTATCGTTCTGCAGTCGGTTTAGAGCGAAACTTGTGAAATGGTTCGAAATCGCAAAAGATGCGAAGGTCGTTGGCACAATTTACGTCGTAGACGGTCGGTTGAGGGTGTTCTGTCGTGCGAGTTGCGCCCATGGCGTAGTCTGTGTGTTGAGGGTATTTGTGGCCTTTTAGTCTGCTGAGAGGATAACTTTTTGAGAGAGTTAAGAGGATAGCCCGCTGAGGGTATTGCCGTAGTGTTTCAGCAGTGTTCGGAGGTCGTTGGCACAATTTGCGTCATAGGTACTCTGCTCGAAATGAAATCTGTCGAGAGTATTGGGCGGTGAGTCTGTTGAGGGTATTGCGCTGACTCTGCTCGGAATGAAATCCGTCGAGAGTATTGGGCGGCGACTCTGTTGAGGGTATTGCGCAGCATGTGAAAGAAGTGCACACGACGCCGATGGGAGAGAAGTCCACACGACCCAGCGCCAATCTGTTGGGGCTGTTTTATTGCGATCTGTTAGAGGTTCGCCGCGCTTGTCAAAGAGAAGAGACCGGGAGCTGTCTAGTCGAGTGCGGAGCCATGCTGCAGCTGCTGCATTGAGGGACGAACCTGCGCGGCTCTATTCTGTTTGAGATTTTTGCTGGTTATCGGTTGAGGCTTTAAGCCAGCCTCGCAAATTTTGAGAGTTTCGAATTAGGTAGGCGCCCAGAGGGGTCCACCGTGCGCCCATCTGTTTGAGCTACTTAGTGGACAGCTGTGGGGGGTTGAGCTGAGCAAAAGTCTGGGCTTTAAAGTTGTTTGCGTTTCGTTAAGTAATTGAGCGACTAAGACGCGCCGAACGTGACTCGCAGCGCACTGACGTGGCGACATACTTACTTAGTCCATCGCTTCTCTTTCCTTCGTTAAGTAATTGAGCGACTAAGACGCGCCGGACGTGACTCGCAGCGCACTGACGTGGCGACGTACTTAGTCCATCGCTTCTCTTTCAAATCCATCCATGGCGTTGCTGCCCCCCTCCCTCCCCCCCTGTTGCGCAAGCGCGTCGAAGCATATGAGTGCATGACTCGCCCGCGAGTACTAACAATGCTCATGAGGTACGCGCCGCAGTCAAATAAAAGCACACACTTTCGCAGCTGTGAAAATCTGCAACATGCAACGCATTGCCATCTTGTTCGCCGCCACTGCTCCACACCGCGTTCGATAGTTCTGTCGTTTCTCATTGATTTGGGGCGCAGTTTGTCGCGTGAATCTGTCGCCGTTCCCTTGATTGTTCGCTTAATTATCCTCAAATGGTGCCCGTTCGGCCTTATTTGATTGTGTTAGAATTGTATGATTGCGACGCATATATTTGCGTCCTTCGCTACTGGTTAACGCTCCGATTTATGTTTGGTTCACCTGTTCACTCCTATCGTTCCGTTTCCACCTAAAGTTCTGCATATATCATCATCATCATCATTCTCGTCAATAAAGTCACTACTTGTTTGAGAGCAACCATATCATTCATATCATCAGACGCTTAGAAGTGGGTAGATCGTTCATATCACGAAATTAAGTTCTTTTAGGTTCCACCATAGTTGATCCCCGCAGAATCTGTTTCCCATCTTACTCCCCTACCCTTTCTAATTACAAGCCTCTCTGGGAGACGCTCGTCAACTATTACGGTGGTAGCCAGTCTAGCTCCGCTCCGAAGAAGCTCGATGCTTCAATACCATCATTCTTCTGTTGCAAAACGACCTTGAAGAAACCACCAGGCAGTGGCGGAGAAGAGGCAGGCAGCGCGGGCAGTGCACAAACTGGGTTTCTGCCTTGTTTCGGTCTAGCGTTACCATGGACAGCAGCGCTGCAGGACGAGACAGAGCCATTCGATGCGCCGGGGATAAGAACGAGTACTTGATATTACCTTAAGAATGCGTCAACTACTTCAACATCAACTTTGTTAAACTTTTCTTGGTTCTGAAGATTATTCTTATTGATTATTGACCTCTTCATCCTTTTCTCAGGCCTTCCCCGCAATGCCTGGAGAAGAATGGAAGCCCTAAAGGCTCGTCTAGAAGCGGAGGCGAGAACGAAAGCTGGCGAATTTCTTACCGTAGACGAAGCAAGCGGTGGCCTAACCACTGAGAATCTCCCAGAAGCACTGGCGCTACTTAGAGAAGCGGCGGACGCGATATTCGTACAACTATGTCATAAACCAGTGAACATCAACCCTCATTGTGATTGAAGGATTTCTGTAGTCTGTACTGAGGCTGAAGAACTGTGAGAAAAAGTTGTGTGGTCTTTCTTCTTGTTTTCCTGATGGCTTCATCTGGAAAATGCAGTCTCCGCTATCGTCTAACAAACGCATCATTATCAGGTAAAACCCGTTCCTGACCCTGGACCAGTACCAAAACCCAAGTATACGTTTACACCCGTAATCTGCATCCCTGATGCTGAGGAGAAACTGGCAATTCCGGAAGCGGTGCTTATGTCTTGACAAGATGGATAGCGACAAGGTTGGTAGTTGCTTGGTTTATTAGACGTAGGATGTCATAAAGAGAGCGGCTCTGTAATTTCTTCAGGACATTTGTGAGGAAGTATTTAAGAAAAGACATACTGCTACCGAACCTTACTGCTACGTACTTCGGCACCTCTAACCTCTTCGCCACCAATCCCAACTTGCGCATTTACGGCAAACCAGAACCGTTTGACCAGGAACTGTATCCAGGGATATTGTTAAGGGTTTCCGAATTGCATTCCTCACTACCATCCCTGACGCTTTTCCAAGTAGAAAAGAGGCCAGGGATGTTCTGAAGAATGTAATTCCGTAACCTCTAATATTCCAGTCGCCAACCGGTTTCGCCGTCCTCGACGCTCCGCTTGGATACGGACAGAGAAATATACAGACCAAGAAAACGCCACCGAAATTCGGTTTTTCGAACTCGCTTTTCGTGGACTGCTCTTCAGTGCCGAAAGTCTGTGAAGCGAATTTTCCGTTTTTGGACGTACTGCCATGTATAGTTTGAATTCAGAAGCGAGTAGGTAAATACTATCAAAACTACCGCGACCACTATGAAAAAACACCACCATCCAAATGACAATAACCTGATAACTCCAAAACAAAAGCACAAATAACTACCAGGTAATCCTAGCTTCGGACTGTGCTATCTTAGAAGGCGGCACAACTGAGGCGATGGCAGACCGTTTTGCGGCTTTAGTTGACAGGGTAAGCGAGGAACATTTACCGCAGCCTGAGGATGCATGAAGATAGCTTAGCTATTAGTGGAGGGACGCCAGCTTCATGAAATAGAAACTGTTAACCGTAGAAGTTTCAAATATTTTACTGACTGAATTGACGCCAATCTTCTGAATGTGAGGAATCTCTGAACCGTAAATTTATTCTCAATTCGACGCACCGATTGATCGACGCCTGTGTGAAAATTCTACTAAAGATTCTGACGTTAGTGACGTAGACGAAAAGCAAAGGACAGACGACAAGAAAAACGACAAGAAAAACGACAAGCACTAAGGACTGACTGACTACTTCTTCTGCTGACTACTTGATGACGCTGTTACAACAATGTACAAACTAAAACGCGCCGCCCGAGATGCCTCAGTGGTTGTAAGACATTAAAGTGTCGTGATAGTTATGAGATTCCGAGAAAAAGGTATCCTTACAAGCAGATTTTGTCCAGATTATGTGCCTGGTTGTAAACATAAAAGGCAGGAAACAAAAGAGGCGCGTAGGATTGAAGCATAAGCAGAAATCGAAACACATTCACATTATGCATAGGAGCCGCTGATCCTGATAGACTACAGCAAGAGGTTCGTCTACATTTCGATTTCCATCCTTCGACAACACCATATAAGGCAACGACAACATACACAAGCGGAAGAAATCATGTTGCTGGTCGGGGAGGCGCCTTCTACAACGCCCGTGGTTGTAGTAGATTATCGGGCGGAGGATGCCGGAAAAACAATACCAAGTAGCAAAAAGAAGTACATCTGGAACCTCCGATTCGTGGCTGTTATGAGGTTGATGTCAGGTTCCCTTTTGAAGGTGGTCTAATTTTTTCGCTTAATTACGCCTGCATGAGTTGTAGTTGTAAACAAATTAATTTTGATTCTCTATAGTTTGTTCCGGTTCTTATTTATTTTGGTTGCACAACAAGAAAGCGGCCAAGAACTGAGCAACGACGTGACGAGTCAGGATTGTTTTGGCCTAGAAGATATGGAATTCATTGGTTCTATTGGAGCTCTAATTCGAAAGGTGAGACTAGCGCAAGTGCATCGTCCCGCTCGATCGAGCATGAGGTGGTTTTTACATCTACTGCGTTCACGGGCAAGCGCAGGATTCGTGTGAACGGATTTCTACAACATGAACAACAGGTATGCTGTAGTACTAGTGATTTTGTTTCTGATTTGCTCTAGTTCGTCCATCATCATCCACTCATCACTATCAATCTTAGATATGATCTATGCCTTCACTAAAAACACACGAATTCCTCGACCCTCACAACCAGGTGTTTCAAGGGAGTAGATTTTACTATTCGTGGCCTTTAGCCGGACATTTGTTGTCGATCGCACCGAACAAGGACCACAAGGACGTGCTGGAAGCGAATTTCTTTCTCAGTATTGATGGCGTCCCTTTTTTTGACTACCCAATGCACGAGGAAGGCGGCGCATCCTTGTTTGCTGTCCTCATTGGCGGTGGGCGAGCGACGAGTGGTCGAGGCACTGGCAATCCAAGAGGCGGACAACAAATGGCCATTCCTAGGATACGGCTCAAAGTCTCTGCAGGTTCTTTTTCTTACAGGTTCTCTTTCTTAGATTCGATCTTGTGGAGGTGTCTGAGGGAATGGACCACCCAAGAAATGTGAGTACTTAGTTTTTTGAGCTCTAACTCTGGAAAACGAGAACAGCTATCAAAATAATGTGCCTTTACCAAACTTTTTTGGCGGAGGAGCGGCGCCAGCAATAGAAGCGCCAACCGAGAACTACAATGGCGCATACAGTTACGCAGGCTAGATCTAGTCATAGGTGCTGTTGTCAAAAAAAACTGGGTTGTTCCACGATGACGCACTTCAGCATGAATCCTTAAACTGAAACATGTTGTTTCTAATTTTCGGAGCCGCCCGATCCTCCCGTCGGTAATATGATGATCACTGGAGGACCTCCTAGTAGGCCTCCAGACCCAGGTCCGCCTGCTGTTACCACAATGGTTGCCTACGCACCTCCTGGACGTGGTGTTGGAGCGAATCAAGGTGCAACTGGAAGTAGTACGAACAACATGCTGAATCGGAACAACAATAATTTGACTGGCATAACGGGTTCACCTGCTCTTACTGACGCTACTTCCAGGAATGCCTTAACGAATCAGATGAGACCTGCAGAACTACCGCCACTTGACCAACATGCTCCCCGTGACATGCAGCAGAAGCCTGCTCCAGAACCAGTGCCGTCTGGTGCACCCATAGCTCTGAAAGATCATGCCGCAACGTCTTCGTCGAGTTCCTCAGCAAGCTCGTCTTCGGAAGGAGAACAACAACCGGCATTGGCGTTGACTCATGTCGGCACTGCTGGTTCCAAAACATCGTTTCATTCATCTACGTCAAATGGTACAACTAGAGCAGTTGTTCTTGCTGTACCTTCGTCGAATGCAGCTGGTGATGCCAACGCCAAGAGTTCATCTAAAGGCACAACAACATCAACAAGCCCGCTATCTCAATCTCGAGGAGGACAGAACGCTAACGACGTAGGAGCGAAGATACCACTAGCTTTACAAAACGGCAGTCAAGCTCTTCAAGGGAAGCCATTAGCATTGGAATACAACCACCTTCCATTAGGTTCTCTACAACCACCTTCCGCTGCCATGTCCATGTTTGACCGTGGCCGTGGGCAACAGGATCACTCATCTTCTTCGTCGTCCGATGATGAGGGGTCTTCAGAATCGTCCTCTAGCGGAACAAGCGATGCTCAAGACTCCAGGGAAAGGGAACGAAGAGAAGAAGCGATGCAAAAGCAATTGCAAAAGCAGCAGCAGATGCAAAAGCAGCAGCAGATGCAAATGCAACAAGGGGAGAAGATGCGGCTTCAACAACAGCAACAGCAGGCACAACAAGCAAGACAGAGCCAGCAAATGCAACAACAGCAAGGTGCGCCGCCAATAAGAGTAGTGCCTCCTCCTGCTGGACCTGGAGGCAGCAACATAAGCACGCCAGTAGGTCAGACTGCTCAGCCGCGGTCAAACGTTCCATCTCCATTGGGCGCGAATATGGTAGCTGGTCCTGGTGTGCAGCAAATGAAGTCTCCCCTGAACAATTTTCCTCAGCAACAGATGAACCTCCGGCAAGGAGGTTTTATTCCACAACAAGGTAATATGCCTCAACAACAACCACAGGTGTACGCAAATATGCCTCAACAACAACCACAGTCTTCGAGTAATCCAGCCTATAGTCCTCAGAGCTTTAGTCCGCCGCAGCAAGTCTCGCCAGTGCCAGGATATGCGATGCCAATGAATCCTCAGCAGCAAGTGCTCATGAACGGACAGCAGCAAGTGCTCATGAACGGACAGCAGCAAGTGCCCATGAACGGACAGCAGCAAATGCTACAACAACGGCAGCAGCAAATGTTACAACAACGGCAGCAGCAGATGTTACAACAACAGTTATGAAGATGACTGAAGAGAACCCTTAGTTAATCAAAAATCACGAGCGCCTCTCTAACGCAACAACTGGCGGCGCAACAGGCGCAACAACAACAGCAGTACTTGTCTACGGTACAACAGCACCTTTCGCCGGCGCAAGGGTCATTGTCTCCAGGAATACCACCACGAGGCATGCCACCACAAGGCATGCCACCTCAAGGACAGAATTTCATGAGGTAGCTGCATTGGAGACGAGGTGAGGAGTAGCATTTGAAGGTATTGAATGTCCTTGGAATAACTAATTATGAAATTCCTTAGAATCTTTTCGAATTTTGATATTGACATCATCATGTATCAACAAAAGTAGACTTCTCTCTTTCATTTATTCCGTTTTATCATTTGCGGAGGTCCAGGTACCAGCGCGTATTCCTTTGCGCCAGTCAAGGTAACTCATTAAGATGATTCGGAAATAACTTGCGCGCAATAACAAAGTAGACAAGCCTTTAGTCTTTACATGTACATCAGCGAGGAAGACTAGAAATTTCAACACAGACGACCAAACACGAACAGAAGTAAGACGTGTCATCTACAAGCACGAAACGTTGTGTGTCATCTACAATCATAACGCAATGGATTTGCAATTCACGTCCCAACTCACCACGCCATGGAAGAAAATTCGAAAGTCAAATTTCGCAAATTCATTTTCATAAATTGTATTCAAAAAATACTGCTGATCCTGTTCAACGTGTCATGAAAAAAGGCACTTATGTAGTTGCACATGAGTTTCGGACTGCATATTTGCTTGTGCTGGGGAGCGACATGTGTTCCACTTGGTTGTAAAGTTGCGATCTATTTGATGCAGGTGAAGTTGAACAAGAAAAGAAGAACTTCTCAGTACGCAGATCTTTCACCGGTGTTGATCATGGCAACTGAAATGAGAACATGCACACTGCACTTTAGCCGAATGTGAATGTAAGCATCTTTTCGTACATTCAAATGCCTTTCCACTGAATCTGAATGCGCGGTTACAACAGCTGCAAAGCGAAACACTACGTTTGACTTTGAGGAATGGGTGTCTGCGGGCTGTTACCTTGATCTCCTGATGTACCGATCGTATCTGACCTGTGCCATCTTCTTTGAAAGAAACCTTTGACGGCGATCCCCATGGATCTGAGGGAGCAGATGGAATGACTAGTACTCCTGTGTGGTCATGGAGTAGTCATTCCTTCTTCTTTGCATCTTCGTAAGTCAAGAATGTGGTCGACTTACATTCATCAATCACTTGTCGTACCACTGGTTTAGCTGACATCTAATTGGCTTCATCAAGCAGAGGAGTTCACAAGCGAAGAGTATACTCTTGTTGATTATCTCGTCAATCTTCATGATCCTATCCTCTTTCTTCATGATCTTATTCTCTTCAATCTTTACATAACACTCACAGGCGTGTTTGTTTCACCCCCATAGTTCGACGAGTCAGTTTTTAGGTATCTTTTCGGTGATTTTGACGAGTTAGCATGAAGGGTCGATCTGCTACGCTTGGGTGTCAGAGACGCTGACGTAGACTTTATATGTGTGGTGGAACCGAAGCAACGCAACGCTAGTACGCTGCGACAACACCAGGACCCCTGTTTCTGGACCTCCTTGTACTTGACAACATCCGCGAGACGCTACATCGCTACAACTCCCACGAATAAAAAAGAAGCTGCCTTCCAAGGATATCACCATCCAATCACGACCCAAACCATCCTCCACCATGGGCGACGCTGACGTGACTACGGTTATTTTTCCCCCGCCTGAGATGCGGGGGATCATCGATAAGATGGCAGAGTACGTTGGCAAGAATGGTATCGACTTCGAAAAACGCGCAATGCAGGAAAAAAGTGCCAAACTCAGTTTCCTCAACCTAGACAACCCTTACCGACCTTACTACGACTACTTGCTGAGGGAGATCAGAGCAAGAGACGCAGGTGCTGCGGGAGCCAACGGCACAGCAACTGCCAATGGTCCGTCGATCCGGGAAGCAGCGAATGCTAGGCCCCAAGCCTTGCAGGAGATCGAGAGGGAGGAAGAAGAAAAGAAGAAAAAGAGGGAAGCCAAGAAGCAGAGCAAGAACGCGATCTTCGGCAAGAGTTTGCCTTTGGCATTGACGAACCATGCAGCACACTTCATGGGGGATCCGGCTGACTACCAACTAGCAAAAGTCGATCCGGGAGCTAAGCCTGTGGCAGCTTTATGATTGGTGATGTGGAGTTTCAACTCCTTACCATGAGTTTACCTCTGTGTAAGTTTTGCTTCAAAAATGGCCAGTAATGGTCGAACCTGAAGTACATGACAGTGGCCATGTCCTAGCAGGTGCGGCTTGGCCGCGAAGCAGTGGACCCTCAACCTTAACCGTTTCAATTTTGCGTTTGAGTAAGTTGTATGTAGTTGTAGTAGCACTTCCTATTTCGGTATGCTTTTCTAATGTTCCTGTTCGATGATCTTCATTTTTGCACATAAGAATAAGTACGTAGATTTCATGCCTGTAATTGAGGCTTCTTTGTGATTTTGTCATTATAGCTGCATCCACAGTACAATGTTAAAATGTAGTTGTATGCATCGTCCACAGAATATAGAATGTAGTTGTATGCATCGTCCCATCGACAGTTTCGGAACACTGCTCAGGGCGAAACTCCATTCCATAGCTTAGCTCTTCTAACCTTCCCGGACGGCAATTCACTCGCTGCCTCGATCGCTGCGATGAATTTGAAGGAGCCCGCTCCCGATGAGTATTCTGTTCCCGCAATCACCATGGCACCGCTAGATCGCGACATCATGAAGGTCACTGCCCAATTCGTGGCACGAAATGGCGCTCCTTTTCTGGAGTCGCTGAGTAATCGAGAGAGTGCGAATCCGCAGTACGAGTTTTTAAAACCGACACATCACTATTTTACCTTTTTCACGAAGCTGTGTGATGCTTATACGAAAATTTTGACGAACCCAGCAGCGGCGATTGCAGCAAAGGAAGACGAAGAAGGCGCGGAAGGCGAGGAGAACTACCTGAACACGCTGAAGAAGATCGCGAGCGATAGAGAATACATCATCGCGCGGGCGTTGGACAGATTTAAGTACTTTTTAGACCTTGTTGTACTTGCATCTCCTGTGGTGCTGGAACGACAATAATTTCCAAGTCAGTGCCATCATGTGATTGTAGGATATTATAGCTAGGACCAGTTCCGTTTTGCATTTCAATTGTACTCGCATATCGTATCTTTCTCCAAGAATTTCGTATCTTTCAGTCCCTTCGCCTTGCATCTTCTTGAATACTACTACTACATCTCACACGTAATCTTTCTGCTCCTTTCTCCAAGAACCAACTCCTTTTCCCCCTCTCCCAGGTGGGACCAAAAGCAGAAGCAGATGAAGGAAGATAAAGATGCGCAAAAGGAGGAGCAGAGAGAGCGAATGGAAGCCATTGACTGGCACGACTTCGTTATTGCCGAAACAATCACCTTCACCGAAGAAGACGACAATATTCCGTTGCAGGCACCCCTAGACTTCTCGAAGATAAAGATCGAAAAGCCTCTCGATCCAGAAATGATGCCAACGATCTTAGAGGAGGAAGAAAAGATGGACGTGAGTGACGACGAGAAGGGAGAAGGTACTTTTTCATATTTAGCATTCTCGTAGCTTGAACTTGATCATCATGGATGGAAATGTTACTGTAGTTGTGTCCTCCGATCCTTTTGTTTATAAACATCTCGATGTTTCGATCGTTTACCCTTTTCTCAAACATATTCTCCACTGGCATCACAGACGAAGAGCCTTCCGAAGAAATGGCCGCAGAGGAACTCGTTGCAGAAGGCGAGTCCCCATCTAAGAAACTGGACCCTAGCATTCCGAAGCAATTAGAACTAGAGGAGATTGCGGCACCAGAGGAAGTCAACTTCGACAACGTCGTTGTCCGTACAGACTACGTCCGTCAGAAGAAGACCGATGATACACAAATGCAAGTATGTCCTTTGACCGGACAGCTGGTGGCAGCGAATGAAATGCCAAATCACATGCGAATATTGCTCATGGATCCACAGTACTGCTTTATTTACTTTTTGATCACATGCGAATATTGCTCATGGATCCACAGTACTAAAGATTTGTCTATTTCCTTCATCAGATTATTAGAAAAATGTCTGCAGCCGAATACTCAATTGATTTTAATGCATTTCCACTTCCTCGTGTTTGATGGATTTCAACGAATCACCACCATCCTTCCTCCCACCAAAATCGCAACAGGTACAAATACCAACGTGACAAGGCTTTGGAAAAAGCTAGAAGTGAGAATATCTTTATCGACGATGTAGATAGGAATCTGGGAGCATTTGCGGCGATGAGACCGGATTTGTTCGGTACAATCGAGGAGGAGATGGAGGTAGCAGCAGAAGCTGGTGACGAGGCTATTGCACGACAGGCGGGAGCCGATGCTGGTAAGAACTTTGCTTATATAATCCGATCATTATTGCGGCAATGTGGTGCAAGAGAAGTAGATTTCTATCTTTCGTTCATCCAGAAGGACCTCCCGAGTTGAATACTTATAAGAAGAGGTCACAATGATTTGAATTTCGATTCTCCAACACATACGTTTTACTCAACACTCTCTCGTTCTACAATTCCTTCTCCACCAAATCCGTCGTCCACAGGTCCCGCACACACTGTTTACAACCCTGAAGCTGCGTTTTTGGCGCACAACCGACCGGGAAAACAGGAGGCGCCACCTCTTGCGCCGTCTCTACGTCGTGGTAGAGACGATGAGGAGGAGTTCGATCTGATGACACCTCAGAATCCAGAAGATCGCTACAACGCTGAATCCGGTGAGGAGTCTGACGACGAGCCATTGCCAAAACGACAGAAATTGATGTTATGGATTACAATACAATAAATATATTCTATGTTTCTTGTTCAGATACCGAGCAGACTGGCTTCTTCCTTTATATTCCTAGAAGGTCAGATATTCCCAGATTGGCTTCTCCCTGGCTTCTATAAGGTTGAGGTTTAGGTCCGGCGGCGCTCAAAGCACTACTAAATAAAGCAACCGGCTCGTTTTTACCTCCAGAGTTTAGCCCTTCCAACAAGATAATTCTCGCACAAGGTTCAGGCCAAAGTTCTTGTTTGCCTTTGTTTCTTCCTGATTTTGTTGTTCGTGGCATTTTTGCTTAGCTCTTCTAATCTCCCATCAACTGCAAGCCGAGCGGGAGTTTGCTGTTCGCAACCAGGAGACACCGGCTGTGTTGCTTATTCAGATTTCGAACGAACTACAGGATTCCAATGTGTCAGAGCTCGAAGTTACACTGAAGGTAACCACCAAGATATCGCAGTTGAAGAACAGTTTGTGCGCACAGTTAGGCCACGAGACGGGCAAGGTCAAGTTCATAAACCTCGACAACAACATGGTTTTGCGAAGCAAGCGAACTCTGGCGTATTACAACGTGGGCAAGGGGAGCAGACTGAGATTGGAAGCACGGAAATACATCTAAGACGTTGGTTTGTACCTCGGGGAGTTGCAGGAGATGATAAAACGAGTGTATTACACTTGTTTGTGTTACAAGATGGAGCTGCGGTACAAGACGGAACTCTTATTGAGGAAGGCTGTTTCTCTGGTCTTTTATCAACAACATGATATTCCCGATGATGAACTCGAGTTCTCCGCATGAAGACCATACATCAGCGACTACCAGCGGGTCTTCATGCTAGCGTACACACCTATACCTCCTAACAACATCGTATATAATGTGATAACGAATATTTTGGTACCTTACAAAGATGACGCGAAAATCGAAACATCAAGAAATCTATCGTGATATGAATCTTCTTGTTGTAAGAAAAATAACGAACCCCCTTCTAATGATTTGCCCCGCCCGCACTACATGAACCAAACGTAAGAAAGAGAGCGCTGACGACCTCTTTCCAACGTCGCGCAGCTAGTGTCAACGTGGAACCGTAGTGCAACCGGTGTATTACTACATTTGTGTTGCAGAAAAAACGACGAGTGTGCGATGCTGAGTTGATCATGTACGGATCTCATCCGATGGCATCCAGTTGTTAGTCATTGTGTTCCCCCTCAACTATCATGTGAGCTTCTCTGCGTGATCTTGTTAATATCTGAGAATATGAATGGATCTTGCACCTGCACCAGTGCGGCTGTTCTGCAAGTAATTGACGAGCATCTTCAAAAGTTGATTTAAGGAATTGAAATTATGATTTGTCCGGCATGCTAATATCTGAGAATATGAATCAATGGACACTGAAGATATGATGGTTCTTCATGTACATCACGATATGTTCGTGATGTATCTACATCACGTTATGGCTACAAATTCCACCTCTCCTCTTGAGGAGAGGTGGAATTTGTAGCCAAGAGGAGAGGTGGAATTTGTAGCCATAACACATCCTCATTTTTACATCAGGGCGTGCTGAATGATCATTATACCTTACATTCTTTGCGACAGCAGTAGAAGTTGAGTACCTGCCGTAGTTATTTCCTAGAAGGCCCTTTACTTCCGAGTTACAGCTTCGTAGAGGATAGATCCCAATCTACACCCACCAGAGAAATAATGTTGTTCGCTTCTCCCGTCCGTTCTACCGCAGCGGTTGCGGCTGTTGCTTTATCGTCCTTCTGGACCAGCAGTTCCTTTTTGCAATTCGTTGCAGCAGACGCAGATGCCGAGCTCGATGCCTTGGATGACGAGACTGCCTCTCCAGAACCCTCATCTGATGGCAGTGCTCTTGTCCTCACCGATGCCACGTTCAAAGCAACGGTGGACAAGGGCGAACCGGTTTTTGTGAAATTCTACGCGCCGTGGTGCGGGCACTGCAAATCCATGGCGCCAGCGTGGGAGGCACTGGCAGCAGAGTCGCCGATCGCGGTCGCCAAGGTGGATGCCACAGTTGAGCGGGAAACAGCGACTCTGATGAAGATCCGGGGATTTCCTTATGTTCCAGATTGTTGATAACGAGACGGCTTCGTCACTGTTTTACTGGACCTCTAATCATTCGAATAAGCAGTGACTTCTAATTGATGGATTCATCAATGATCTACGAAAAAATTGAGGCAATTCGAGAGAGAGAATGTACAGCCAATAAGTACAATACTTCTCATCTAATTCATGACGCTTTACCTGTTCGCCAATGGAAACCAGATGTACGCTTACAACGGACCGAGAACCAAGGATCCGATGCTCGAATTCGCCAATGGTAATCAATACAGACCGATATTGTACGTGTGACTTTTTTCTTCCAGGAGATGGTATTGTTTTCAATCCGGCATGGATTTATTCCGTACTCAAAGACCAGTTGCTCCCCGCGGCTTTCTTAGATATGCAAGCTAGTACTACTCATTTACATGATTTTGATTTTTCGTAACGAACTTGATGTGCCTAAGTAGGTGAGTGAAGCAGCACAACAAACTGCACAACATACTTCCTAGGTGGATACCTCTCCGCAAGCCCGAAGAACGTGCCGTGGAATGAGACTTTCATGGACCGTGCTCAAGAACACGTCTTGGAATACTTCCAGAAGGGTATTATTACTAGTACTCTCGCTCTCTTTTGAAAGATTGATCAAAATGTTGTAGATTTGAAGACAATTTCTGCAAGAACAGGTTTTCGACTTTCCCATCAATTTCACATGTTCATAGAAGTACTTTCATCACAAGGATGGATTAATTTCTAGAACTTGTGTAGATGATCAATCGTCGATGAGCTCTTTGATCTTTGAATACAAAACCTACAATTCAGTCGGCCAAATTATGGCGTTCGAGCCAACGATCTTGCCGTTAGCGTTTATGCTGGGAGCGATCGTTTCGGCAGCCTTGTGCATTTGCTTGTGCTCGAGCGCTCCTCCGATGCCGGTTCCGGTCAGCAAGAAGGAAGTGAAGGCAGAATAAAGAAATAGTAGCGCTTTCTGGAAGGAGTTGAGAAGAATGAAGGGGAGAAGGCGAGTCCATGTATTGGCTCGGAAGAGGAGTAGCCTGTGCCTTGTGGGGCGAAGACATCACTGGGCGTGGACGCGACGTTGACGTGTGCATGCTAGCAGTTCCTACTATAAGGACGACAGCATGTTGAGGAGTTTGTTTCGTAGCAGGGGCTTAGTTCGTCTTTATCCTTTTGACGAAAGTAGGGATGGCTGTTCGCTTTTCCTGCTGCAGAAAGGTAGTGAGAAGCACGGTGAAGGCCAGTCAGATAACGTAGAAGCAATACGAGGACGATGGCATGAAGTGCAAGTATTGGAGATGTTCACAGAACTGCGGGTTTTCTCAGCCGATTTGTACCACAAGGAAGCATTTTTATTGCTCTGGCATTCACAATTTCTATTTCACAATCTATTCACTCTTTTCTCACATGGACAACATCCAGTGTTGGACATTGAATTTGTACAAGATCAAACTTCAAGAGACGATTTCCTTCCCGGAAATCAGTGTCTCCCCAGAAACAAAGTGGCGATGACACCCACCCATCCATAACTGTACCACATCCATGCATGCCTGCGAAGCATATGGAACACTTGCATGAGGTCGATTAGTAGATCATCCGGAGCATGGTCAGCGGCAGGAACGATATGCCGCGGACGTGTGCGCTTATGTATTGGAAAAGGCCTGCAAAATGTCGGAGACACAGACGTGTTTGTAATGTTTTCTGTGGTGATTTTTCGGATCATGAAGTATTGACGGTATCATCTGTCGTAGCGATCACGTGGTTCCGCTGATCTTTCTAGAGATATATCTTGTGATATCCTCGGTCTGCGCAGAAATGGCTGTCGGTCAGTTTGCAGGTCAGTATTGCCCCCTCCACCCCGCTCACCCGTTTCCAGCGGCTTAAAGCAATAAAGATAGACAACGCAGCTGTGAACATAACATTTTCAATCAATCAGTAATGAGCAAGACATGCCTCTCGGTGTTGCTCCGCTACGTTGTATTCGTGCTCATTGCGGGATGCGCGGGAGCTCCAGAGACCTGGTTTCCTTTTCCCGGACGCTATCCAGAGACGCCTATCGTCCCAGCTTTGACCGGAACCGCTATGACGGAAGCGATCGATGTAGATTCGACATGGAAAGCGTTCTGGGGACCCCGACTCATCTCGGGCTTCAGAGGAAATCACACCGATGAACTTATCTTTCGATGGATGGGGCGGAGCGGTCAAGCGGAAACGCAATCAGAATCTGCGAGAGAAGACGAGGACCAGTTCATACGGTCGCAGCAAGCGAAGTATGTGGAATTTCTTGAGAAGCAGGTGTATCGGAGACAGCAGGAGCTGCGGGTTGCGTATTCGTATGTTCAGCGGCTGATGCAATTAGCAAATCCACATGAAGGCGAAGCGGGTGCCATTGAAAGAGGGGATGCGACGCCGTCTGTATACTACAATGTTGACGAGCAGGATGCGGTGGATGTCAGTGGGAGATCAGTATCAGGAGGTGCGCAGAGAAGCCAAGCTCTCATGGGAAAAGCTGCCATGCCAGGAGGGCGCAGGTGGATGGAACCACGGCAGCTACGTACACCGCTTGCAGTGGACTCTGTGCCATGGCCGGTAGTGATGGAACTAGCAACCGAGAAACCTATTGAAGCAAACAATGACATTGATGCAGCAAGACTCGACGATAGCAGTCAGACAAATAGAAGGGCAGCTGCATCGTCACAGATCTTCGAGATGGTGTATGACTCTCTCTACTCCCCGGATTACGAGATGCTGATGCAAGCAACGCCGGGACTAGTAAGCGATATTGATGCGGCAGATAAAGGAGAACTCTTTGAATGGGAAAATACGGGGCAAGCCAACTCCAAGAGTAGTGGTGGTTCCGATGTCGAGGCGGCGAAGAAACAAGCTCCCAGCGAATTGTTTTACTATTCGAGTGCGAAGGATGCTGGATATGATGTATGCTACGTCAGCAATAGTGTAGAAAGTGTGGAGAAGGTCAGCGCATTGGGAGCGCCAAACGCAAGTGGGGATGGCGTCTGTACGTGGCAGGCGGCGCGTGGCTTTCGAGCCGAGGTAGGCAGGCCTGTCCCTGAATCTCAGGGAATTGATGCTGCGAGACGACGAAGGCAGCAGAGATTTGACAGGATAAGAAAACAGTTCGAGACATCCTCTTGTGCAGTTTGGCCCTGGTCATTCGCGAATCCCTTGGGCTTGCCACCGATTCGTCATGTTGAGACACCTGGAGAGGTAGGAAGAGGCGACTCTTCTGGATCACAACAGTTACGTTGGAGTCGACGATCCTCCAGTCCTGGAAGCATGAATCGAGAAGGTGCGCGTTCGATACCTGCGCGACTCATAGAGGCGTTGCGTAAAGAAGGTAGGGAGCTGCGCCTGGCAGTCGAGGTTGGATCCTTCACAGGTGCTTCTGCGATTTCGTGGGCGAAAGAGGTGAGGAAGGATATACCAGTGGAAACGCCTCCGTTAGTATGCGTAGATCCGTGGACAGGTGATCTCAGTATGTGGCTGAATAGATTCCAATACGGAGGCATTTTTAAGAAGCGATGGGGAGAGCGAATTGGCAACGAAACGGTAGCACATGGACTTTCCGGGAGTTCAGTTCTGACCAAGCTGCCAGATGCAGGGCTCGCTTCGAACCGGAATCCAGAGTCGGGCTCGGAGCTTCCAACCGAGGGTGCATTGGGTACGGCATTGCTAGGAAAGAGCGATGTGGGATTTCTGATGCCACTGAATCAAGGACGGGCCGCATTGTTTGACCAGTTCACAATGAACGTTAGAGCTGCGATCGATTCTGATGAGATCGGTCCGAAGCAGATTGTGCCGTTTTCCGTATCGAGTCTTCTTGCAGCACGCTTCTTCCAAGCACGGAGCTGGCATCCAGATGTAGTCTTCCTGGATTCGGCGCACGAGGCTGATGAGACGTACATCGAGCTCTGTCTGTGGTGGCGCATCCTGCCACCTGGTGGGATTCTGCTAGGCGATGATCTACTGTGGGATGCGGTAAGGAAGGATGTGATCCGATTCGTCGAGGAGCGTGATTTAGAGTCCCACTTCATGTTGACGTCCGTGGATTGGCGAAGTAGCAGTGGGAATAGGGAGGAGGAGCAAGTTCGGCAGTGGATTTCTTCGTGGGAAACTATCAAGTACTCCAGATTCACAATGCTCTTCACAAAGTATCTACAAGCCGAAGGGAACGACGACGTGTGGTTCATCCAGAAGCCAGGGCGCTAGATAAAGCGCGTCTGCGAGTCGGAAGCTGTTGGAATGTCCATGGACGCTGCTATACTTTATAAAGAGAGACGTACGCTTTTGTGGCGTGCGCCTGAAAGGACTTTTGCAAGCTTCGGTGATACCTACGACTGCGTCCGACGCTCAGCACAAGGCTCCGAGAGGATGCGAGGAACTGCACGAAGTGAGCGTAGAACCAACTTCGCTTTGACGGAATGAAGTTGGTATAGGGGAATGTGCAAGCGGGAGCGCGGTGCAGCGACAAGCTAGATTTGCGAAGCAGACATCCACGGCGAACCAATGGTGTGAGAGCTGCTGGTTCGTGGTGCTATGCGCGCCGAGACGGTAGATGGATTTTGAGGAGTGTTGTAGTGAAAACAGTTCCCTTTGATGAAAAAGCTCTGTCTAAACCCAATAGCGCGATTAGTCTCACTTTTACCGCGTTCTGTGTCAATGGCGGGACATAAAATCCAACTGGATTTGTAATGCAGTCAGTGTGAAATAAGCTACCTCGTGCTCAGCATACTGCTTTTAGGTAGATGAGCTGCATCGAAGCGAAAGAAAAAGTAGAGCCTTGGACCAATAACAAGAATGATGTGATTTGCTGAATAATTGTATTGGGATGACTATCATTTTCAACGGTACTCGAATGTGGCTCAGTTGTATCAGTTCGGTGGTGTGTTCCTCGGAATTCAGATACGGGAAATGTCCTTTCGAGAGCCTGAGAGGCACGAGAGTTTTCTTTGACCGGTTTCGTTGGGCTCCGAATCTTTGCAAACCTTCTCTTACCCAGAGAGAGAGAGGAGCGCGAAGGATTTGTCTCTGCGCACTTTCGTTGTAAAAGTGAGATTGTAGCTCCTGTTTCCTGCTTGCCTTTGTAGTGATTTCGTCGTCTTGATTGTCTGTCTGGTCTCGATTTTTCCGTACATGTATCTGTATATTAAGTGAACGTATGCATTCCACAATCTTTTTTGTAACATATTCAATTGTAAGTAGGATGCATTTGTTGTATCTCCGACGACGATAAACATCATTTCAATCTTGCAATTGAACCAACGGGGGAATAGGAGGGTATATACTCGAAAACAAACAAATCCATCAAGATGGCCAAGATGATGATGAAGAAGGCTGCCGCCGCTCCGGCCCCGGCTATGAAGTCCATGAAGAAGATGTCCATGAAGATGATGAAGAAGAAGTAAGTCATCGGACTCTTCCACTAAAAATCATCACAATATGACATCATAATGATGTGAGAAGACTCGCGCGTCGTGGTGTAATCTACGCGTGCTTGAGTCAAGAGACGGCTATGGCGTCTCAGTTGTAGTTTCGCAACTGTTACGTACATTCCACCAACAAGAGAAAACCGGCACAGCCTGGACTCTCCCTGTGCACGGACATGTTTGTCCTTGTTTTATCATGTGTTCACATGCAGGAGGGAGGAGAGGGCTACGGGTTGGACGATATTCCGCGCGGGAGTCTCATTCTAGTATCACATAGTTCCTCCCCGGATGCTCTTCTGCCGTTGCTACAATTTTTCACACTTCGGTCCCAGCTGCATTTGTGATGCATCTTATCTTCTGTCTTTGTCGCTCTCATACCATTACGTATTTTTCTATAGTACTGCTTCATTGTCATTCGACCATATCTCGAATTCTCGTGAATCACCATACCAACGTGTTTTGTGTGACGACATATTTTTTGCTCGTTGGGGCTGGAGAGAAAAAAAGGCCAAAACTGCTCTGTAGTAAACGATCGAAGCAAAGCATGCTCACGTCTCACATTTACTTCGAAAAGCTATTCAATGGGTTCATACAATCTTATTTACGTAGTTACGGTTTTTAAACATCATTTTATGTATATGCATCTTATCCAACCGGGGTTTAGGAGGGTTATTTAAAACACAAAAACCATCAAGATGGCCAAGATGATGATGAAGAAGGCTGCCGCCGCTCCGGCCCCGGCCATGAAGAGCATGAAGAAGATGTCCATGAAGATGATGAAGAAGAAGTAAGTCATCGGACTCTTCACCAAAAACATCATAAAATGACATCGTAATTGTGTAAAAGACTCGTGCGTCGTGGTGTAATCTACGCGTGCTTGAGTCAAGATGACGGCTATGACGTCATGGTTGTAGTTTTGCAACTGTTTCGTGCATTCCGCAGAGAAAAAAAATTTCAATCAGCGCTCTAGTGTGCCTGCTAACCAAAGGGATTTGGGGTGTGTTCATCGACTTATGTTGGTAAGCGTCGGTAATGGTTGGCTTTCACACTGTTGCTCCTGGAGTTACCGAAGGTCGCCTTTCTTCTCTTCTACCGGCTCCGTCTCTCCGATATAGTCCACTCTTTCCTTCATCCAAAGAGCATTTACCAATGCATGCTTTTGCGCAATCGCTTTCCTGTAAAGATCCAGATATACCTAAGATGCTTCCCTGAAAAACTGTAATTCAGCTGAATATCTTATTATCGTAGATTGGCTTGGATAGCCACCGGCAAGTATGGAATGATCACTTCGTTGCTCCAATGAAGTCTGCGCAGAGTGCCTTCCTGCTAGACGCCATCCGGCGTCGAGGGCGAACCAATGTCAGTGATCTCGAACGCAAAGTGCTGCACTGTGCTGGCAATTTACCCGTCTCTGAACTCGCTTTCATCGCCAATGCACTCACTAGCCGTGCACCATCCACGGACTTCTGGTATAAATACGCGCGCATATGCGAGGTGGCCATCAAAGGCACCAGTCAGGGCTCATCATCTACGAGTGGTAAGTTGACTTCACATACGGAGGCATCGCAGAGGCCGCAGGTGGATTCTCGTAATTTGGGATTACTAGCGAACGCTTTTGCGAGAGTCGATGTGAAGGACCAGGCACTCTTCGACACGATTTCCGATGCACTGACAGGGCATGACGCATCATCAATCGGTCTTCCTGATGGCGCAATAGTTGCAGCACCTGAGGTCGGCAACACCGCGGCACCTGCAAGAGCGTTTTCGGCAACGCTCGCTTCTTCGGTCGATTCGCAGAAGCCACCGTCTTCGAATTGGAAGGATCTCGCACTGTCCTTAGCCGCAGGATGCCGTGGTTCGTCGACCGAAATGAACGATGCAGTCCGTCTTCAGGTTCTGTCCGGGGGCAATTCGACAGATGTGAGCATGGCTCTAGCTTCAGCGGACCGCGATTTCATATTGCAGCAGGTTTCGGAGGCTCGTTTGCGAGAGCTCGCACCACGTCTAGATGCCGCTGCGATAGCGCGCCTGCTACAGGCGGTTGCCCGGTTAGGTAGCGCAGACGCAAATGCTGACAGCGCTTGCTCCGAGTCGAGACTTGCGGCGAAGGCGAGGAGAGTGAAGAGCCAGAACACGGTAGGTGCGCGAAGAAAGCAAGATGAGGCACGTGAGGCCAGTGAAAACAGCAGCGGTGATCAGAGTACCGACTTGGAGAAAGAAGCCCGACTTTTCGTCCTGTTTCGGCCGTTCATTCTGAAGGAGTGTGCGACGGTGGATGCGCATTCATTGGGTATGATGGTGAACGCATACGCACGTCTGAACCGGACCAAGGACTCGAAAGTCTTACATGCGCTTTCCGACCGTGGCTGTGAACTACTGCGTCTTGACGAGCAAGCTCGAGCGAAACCGACATGTGCGGATTTGAGGAATGACGATGCTGCCGTTGATACTCGTAGTCCAATAAGCGAACCTGATGCAGCTCCTTTTCCACGTCAGATAGATCACATTGCAGTTTCGAGTATGCTCAATGCACAGGTGAAATTGAATTTTGTGGATCCAAACTTTTGGCTTTTGGCACGTCGGTGGTGCGAGAGCGACGATAATCTTCGGACCTGTACACCGCAGTCCCTGTCGCTGCTGATGCACGCGTTTGCCAAGGCAGATCGGCGTAGATGGCTCCTTGCTCCCCCTCAGAGCATGAACGAGGGGTTCTCCAGTGACGCTTCAGGAAGCGCGCCTACCTTGACATCCGAGAGCCAACAAGAAGATACTGCTAACAGGCAGCAAGGTCATTCATCTTCACTCACTATGGCCTCGTCAGATCGAGAGGCGCTCCTGCAACTCGCCGTGCTATTTCGGAGATTTGTGCCGTTCGTCATCGCGTCTGCGTCAGATGCAACAGCGCAGAACCTGTGCAATGCAGTCGGAGCTGTCGCAGCAATAGGTTAAGGTGAGCGATCCTATTAGATTTGATAAAATGACAGTATTTTTGCAGCGCGAAGTGGTGTCATCAATATTGTGAATGAGCGATGGAAAATTTCGTGGAAGAATCTCTCCATAGCTCTTCGTCGAGAACGGAAGACGAATCCGGTTACCCTTCTAATGAGTGCACACCGACGAGCGTTTATTCCAAGCCTGCGCAGATCAGTTCTTGCGGCTATTGCGGACAAACAGGGTAGTACCACAAGATGTTGCCAACATGTCGACAGCGTTCTCGCGAACAGCCGACTTGCAGAACAATGCATTGGTATTAGCTCTAGCTCAGTATCGTTATTTGCAGCTGGGGTCGAGCAAGACTCCATCCGCAACATCAAGTACAAAAGCGGTTTCGGGCATGCGGCCATTCGAGCTGTCCGCGTATTACAATGCGCTTGCGGTGTTTTATCATTATCATGGTCGAAATAAAGAAGCAAAGAGTGCCGAGATCGCACGTGCTATTGAAAAAACGTTTCACGACTTTCAGAACGACATATTTCTGGATCCTCCCGCATCAACGTCGGAACTAGCAGTTGCTCTAAACGCCTACGCTAAGATCTTTTCACAGAAACAGGCTTCACAGAGTGCGTTTCAACCACCCACGGTTACGCTGTATAACGCTGAGTCGGTACTACCGTCGCCTCCCTCATCGGCCGCCAACGCAGACGCATCTACCAGTAACAAAATCGAATTGTCTGCAGAGGACTCGCTGTCGGATAGCATCGTCAAGCGCATACTCCTGCATCGGCCTCAGCTGTTCCAAGGAGTGCCATTTGTGCTAGCTTTTGGCGCGTGTGCGTCGTTGCGAATCGACTTTGCACGGGATGCGAAAATCATGCAGCGGTGGCGTGCTGGTTTCCATAATCTCGAAAACTGCACGTCATTAGATGCACTGCACACGAGCACACTTTTATGACGAAGATGTCTCTCTCGCAGGAAAAAAAAGAAGGCATGGCGAGTACATAAAACCCATGCGATACCATCAGAAATATACTTTTTATGATATGAAGAAGTCACATTTGGAGTTGCTATGGTTATTTGTCATTGGTAAGTAGTATCCTGGATTCTTCGTCTAACTTGTGTGAGCGGGCTAGCGAGGATGCGACAAAGCACTTACACCCAAGAATGGCTGCGACTTGCATTGGAACAGATGGTTGGAAGTTCTAATGGTGCGCACCCTCTTAAGGTGGATGGTGCAGATCATGCGCCTCTGCGGAAGTCTGAGAGGCGGTTCCGTCCGAATTCTGGATTGAACGAACTCACGACGAAGAGAGCGGCGATGTTTCCTTCGGTGGCGGCAGTACTCTTTCACGCTTTGTCATCATTGTTGAGTCGCATGGCACCGGAACTAAAGGCGGAAAAGTTTTCAGATTCAGGTCGTGTTGTAAAGTCGACGAATGAGGCATGCTCAGATCCTGGTGATGAGTCATTAGCGACGAGCCTGGGCGAAGATGGCAACACAAGCAATGGGGTCACTTCAGCTTCAAATCCGACAAGACATGCAAATAGAAGACCGGTCTTGTGTAGAAAACTGTATTCAACAGTGCTGCAGCGGTGCTTGGAAGATTTGCGGTTTGACAACAAGGAACCTGAGCGCCTGCGAAGACAAATGCTGCAGTTAAGACGCTGAAATTGATGGAAGAGATCAAGTTGAACAACGAGAACAGCGTTTTGAATTTTCAAGAAATTTACTAACAGATTGATAGGAAGATGAGTATTTTTTTGTGAATTGATTCTCGAAGAAGTGTTTCTAATTCCAGGCGCCATGCATTTTTTCCTTTGTTCCGATGGCCTGCATACGCACATGCCTCTGAAGTTGATCAAGGAACTGCATCGGAAAGTTGGATACGCCATGCCCACGACCGCAAGCGCACAAGATCAAACAGCGGATATTGCAAAACGACATGGCGGCGAACAACAGAGTTTTCATTCAGACATTGTAGCAGCGGTTCGGAATGTACAGGGAGGTGGTGAGCAGTCGCTGAGGACACAGACACCAGAAATTGTAAGTTCTTTTGGTAATCTTCAGACGGAGGTTAGCATTTACGGAGTGTATTGGTTGGATATAGTGGTCACGCCATAATGTTGATGGTGGTGTTGTCAGAGCGAGAAGAACGAGCAGAAGGGGTGTTTTGACGAACAAGAAGAATGAAGGGATGATTTGATCTGTTTCCAGACTAACTGGTGGTTGCGGTTGTGTTTCCGCACTTTCCGACGCAGACGCACGTGGATTTGTCGCATCTAATGACAGAGAACGATACATTCTCATTTTGTTGTTCATATGGGCTTAGCTGATACCGTGCACCAGACAGATGGATTTTTCTGAATTGATTGCGCAATGGACATGACTCAATAATGATTTGTTTTTCAGACATGAAAGTAGCGATAGCCATACTCACGCTTAGGCAAATGAAATTGCCGCAGTGCGATTGCGGAGCGGGCAGTATTTTTAATACGGACTGGAAGCGGCATATTTACGGAATGCGAAACCCCGAGCGCTTTTTTTCTGCAAGAGTTTGAGCTGTGAGCGCTGACAGAGAAGGACTTTCAAAAAAGTAAAAGTGTACTCGTAAAATGGCCGCCAAAGGTACTCAGAACCGTTAGAAAAATATCACCTCATCTTCACGAAGACATACCATTATGCCAAAAACAAGAATGGTAAGCGAATCTTAAAATCATGTCCCCATCGATGTACGAGAGGCGTACAGATGGGGTATCGGGAGAAGTTCGGAGCGGCTCCGCACCACGGTTCGGACGCACGGTCGGACACGAAAGAAGCTTGGCATGATAGGGAAGTGGTAGCGCTGGTTTATCATGACGTGTTCTGATTCTTTTTTACACATTGCGACTGCACGTCCACTTCTCCCTATTCGCAATCAGCGGTATAGCATGTTGTCCACCTCGTTTTCACTCAAAACCCTCAACAGACCAGTCCAAGTGGTCGGAGAAGCGATCCCAGTTTCCGCGATGGTGGTCCTGGCACTTCAGGGAATGCAAACCCTGAACATTCGATGTCCCTTATCAGACGGTCGGTCAATTTCGACGATTCTGTTAGGGTGGTACCTGCAGGAGGATGCGATAGGGAAGACGGTTCGATAGAGAACCGGGGACAGCAAGGTTTAAGAGAATAACGGACTAGTAGAAGTTTTTGATTTTTTCTACACTGGCTTGAGAACAAGAACAAGTGAATTGCACCTCACAGCTGTTTTCTAGTTCAGGTGTAATCACCATTGTTTCCGCGTTCATCCTCCTCTAACTATCTCCATTTCACCACCGCCATCCGGTGGTCACTTTGCCTTCCTGCAAGAACGGGTATTCGCCTTGAGCCACTCACGATGGTCGCCTTCACGAAACAGTCCAGACTTGCCGCACTTCGCGTCCTACTACTCGCTCTTCACGTACTTGCATCGGGCAGCGGGGATTTACTCGAGTGTCCTGCGTTACATGATCATCACGACGGTGGTGGTAGTAGCTGCTTACTGATTTCTTTTTCAGGATCAGTAGATTATCAACATCTGGGTTACCACTTTATAACTATATTTTCACATTCGCCCTCACCTTTGTAGAGCCGTGTCGTGCGTTCTGGAGATGTGATTATGTAGCCATACAAGTCGTAGTCATAGTAGGATCTCTTATCCTATCACCACGCTCTCCTACTTCTATACCAGAGCATCGGAATATATCGGTGGGACCAAGAGTGGGATGCGGGCTTCATCCAAGAACACTTTCCATTGGCAAAGCAGACGAGTCTCGTCAGCATTTTTACTGGGGTACTCCTGTTGTAAGCGTAGTAGTTTATGATGTTGTAATCTTAGTTCATATTATTTGAGGCTGCAGGGTGTCATCGTATAGTCTATGGGTTTGTATGCTAGCCAATGATAGACTTCATGGAATGGAATAGGTGCAAGTCGTAGGTATCCTTCGTGTAGAAGTCGAAACCGGACCTCAACCAGGTCCTCTCTTTCACCCTTGTGTTTCGAATTAACCTGGCGTATGGTCGATGGTGGGACTCAAGAAGGAGCTCCGAAACTTTCGCAGTCAAACTAATGAACGTGGCTTTGGAGTCCTCGTGCTTCGATCAGTTTACACTGACTTTTATGATCATCGGAGAAAACTCTAATAAATATTTATATTTGTTTTTTGTTAGAAAGATCGTTTCTTGAATTCTAAGGCACTCGAGATATTACTGCTCTGTTGAGTCACATCTTGTTCGTTCCTGCCGGCGGAGCAGGACTGAGACCAGCAATAAGACTTTCTTACAGTCTCAAACACTTTCTAGAACCTCTAAGTCATCCGCAGCAGAGCACTACAGATTTCGCGCACGAGTATGTGGGCTAGCTTCATTAGCGCATGCGGAAGCGGTAAAAGAGCTGGGGTCAATGCGAGATATAGATCATCTAGGATCGGTCTTACTAGCAGAAGGAGATTTCAAACAGGTACATTATTGTGAGAATCTTATCGGGTAGGCAGGTAGTCGAATCTGTGAGTGCTCGTTATTTCTTTCTTTCTTCGTTTGTTCGATCGCATCATACAGGAGTGACATAGTTTGTTGGCTGGACATGGCATGGAGAGCGTGGGAAGACGCGGGTGAGTGAAAGTGTCAGTACTACTTTTGTTGGCGAGGAACGAGTTCGACGAGGTTGCGACGAGGGTAAGTAACAAAACCGGCTTAATTAGGTATTTATTGAACGAGGAAAATCGTGACTGCATCATGCTCATGGATCCATCTCGCATGATAACTTGACACCATGTGAACGTCTTAACCATCCTTGCGTTTCCCAAACTCCGTATGTATGGCTCAAGGCCTGAGACGTCTGAGTAACAAGTTGTCGACTGCATACACATATAAATCATCTTGTTGCTGCGTATATCAAGCGGAAACTCATCTCTGTGCTCAACTCGTCTGAAAGATCCGAGATCCTGACCGAAGATCTACGAAGATCACAGTGGTAGCGGAAGCAGTGGTTGTGGTCAGGATCCTCAGACGAGTTGACGAACAACGTAGTTACTAACTGTTAACTGAGAAACCAATACCAAGCAAATGACTAATCACGACCCGTCAGCGGGTAGCAGTTCGGATAGATACAATCCGAATCCCGATATTCCAATGCACACGGATACCGACGCAGAAATGGTTGATGACGATCCAGACATTGGCAATATTTCCGAAATTTACCATTCTACTTCAACCGACAATCTGCCTGCGTCGATGATGGCGCTAACAAGTGCAGCGGTTCGCTCTAATCCGCCTTCTCCGATTAGGACAATCCCATCGGGACAGAACTCTACAGTAGTAGCATCACCGTACGGACCCGTTGGCTCTAGGTCCAAAAGCAGACCGAACTCTAGAGCAAGCTCCAGAGGAAAGGGGGAACGAACCATTGCTAGTGGTGCTGATATCAACGAGTTGATGCGGAAGCAGGAGGAGAGAAACCAAGAGCTAGCTCATCGAGATAACCTCCTCCGAAGCCGACAAGTACTGATCGAATCAGAAATCATCGATCAACGAGGAGCCATCAACAGTAGTAGGAGTGATCTAGCCAACGTAAGAGAAGAGGTCGATAACAGATTGAGGTCGGTAGCCTCAGCAATTGCTAGTACCAATGCTAGAAACCAAGCAGAAACTGGAGAAATAGTGGGAGAAATGAGGCAGGATAAGGAGGCAATTAAGCAGCAACAAGCGCACACAACAGAAATTGTCGATGAAATCAAGAAAGATAAGGCAGAAATGGAGAAAGTCAAGAAGCAACAACAGGAAGTAGTGTCTCACATCAATCAAGAGAAGCTGTCGTTGAGTAGACTTCGCCAAGCAGCACTAGACGCAGATCAACGGGTAGCAACACTACAGGCACAGTCTGCATCTGTGGAAAGTGCACTTCGCGAGAAGACAGACTCGCTGAATGACCAACTACGAGATGCCAAATTTACTATACGATCCCTGGAAATAAAGGCACAGACAGCAGTGTCAAAGGAGGAGGACATGCAAAGGCGCATTGATCGACTGGAATCCTTGATCATGAACAATGCCGCTTCTGCTTCTCCACCTCCACCGCCGCCGCAACCACCGACGGCGCCCGAAGGTCTAGTAGAATACTACTGCTATGAAGTATCGTGTCAAACAATTTTGGGATCGCCAATCTGGTGTCCTGGCTGCAAGCAAGCATTTTGCCCGACACACCTGGGGACCCATACATGCAGAATGCCGCAGTTTGCAAACAACAGCACTACAAAGAAGGGATCTACAACATCTTCGGGAAAGTTTGTACCTCCCCCACTTCCTTCGCAGAATAGAAACCAACTTCCCCAACAGGCAACTAGTCAACAGCAATCAATGGGAAAAGGGTACGTACAAATGAGGGACTTAGCTGGAGAACCCAGGGCAGCAAACTACCAAGGCGTCAATCTAGGAGGTATGGGATTTTTCCAAAATGAACAGCCGAACGTTCATCCACTAGGACAGCCGCCAGTTGGAGTAAAGTTCGTAAGCGGTTTTAGTGCGGGTGGCCAGTCTATGCCGTCTGCGTCAGGGGGTGCAGGAGGAGAAACAATTCGACTAACTGAATACGGCATGATGGGAGAAATCCCCAAGTTCGACATCCTACTCGAGTCTGAATTTGATTTTTCTAGTGGCAGAAGAATAGACGAGAAGCAGTATGCCGACTACTCTCCGTCGGACAAAGGACTGCCACGCTTTGAATCACATCGAAATATTAAGACCTACGTCGCGGAACTAGGCTCGTGCATCAGGGCGATGATGAGAAAAGGGGTCTACCTTCGTGTAGGCGACGAGGAGCACCTAGTGAAACAGATCATCATGAAGAACTGTCATTCCGATCAGCAGATGCAGTCCATGCTACGCATGAGGATAGTCAAGGATGACGAAGCAAGAACGTGGAGACTCAGGAACTACGCCATTCTGATTGCGAGCGCGCGGCCAGATATGACACTCACCTACATCGAGAAAATAAACAGCTGGTCATTGAAGACGTGGAAGAAGAGGTCAGGAGCGTCACTTCTGGAAGAGCTCATCAGAGTCGAAGAGGGAGCAGAACAAGTAGAGTACCCACTAGAACAAAATACTCTTCTTGGGCGTCTAGTTGTTGCCGACGAGGTGAGGAACCGAGTGGACATACCTCCGGCCTTCGAGCAGCGAATCAAAGAAAGGCTCCAGGTAATCGAATGGAGTTTCAGGGAACTCAAACAAGCGGCAGTACTAGAGCAAGGCATAAAGACAATAGACAACATGAGGAGCAACGGCAAGACCATCTTCGATGTAATGCGACTTGAGGACATCGAACGTTCCCACTCTACGGCCGTGCAGGCTCTCTATCCAAAGTTTGGAGATAATTTCAAGAGAAGGAACAGTACTCCAGCAGGTTTCGGCAACAACAACCTCAATGGCGCT